TGGAGGAAGCCATCTCCCCCTTTTTTCAGGGGCACCAGTGCCTAGTGAGGACCTGTGTTGATTAAAGTGTGACAGAGGTTCTTGGTTTAACTACACTAGCAGCCCCACGTGACCACAGCAGTAGGGGGCTGACCTTAGTGCTACTTTGCACCATGCCAGTGAGCAAGGCAGCCTGTCAGAGTCCCAGAGGGGAGGATGGTTAGAATGCCGTTTTCAAAGAGGGCTAGCATTTCTATCACTGGAGGGAAAAGGAATTCATTTTCCAGGAATTCTGCCTGCACTGGGATTCAGTGGGTGGTGTCAGGGAACCAGACCCAGAGGGCTGGGAGGGATGGGAGATGACCCAAGTCCGGCATCTAGGGACGCATGCTGTCTTCACAGGGTACATGGTGCTTGCACAGTGCCAGACACTGCTGGCCAGTGTGGGAGCTTCATGCCACTCAGATCATGAAGACCGGTGAGTATTCTTAGCTGCACTCAACTCTCAGGTAGAGGTGGTGGCGACTCAGGGCCGAGCCTCTGAGCTGCAGACTCACGCAGGGGAGAAGGGTTCTGCTCCTGGCTGCGAGCAGCATGGGTGCCTGTGGAAGGGAGCGGAGCTGGGTGAATGAACTTGGTTCTGGGACAGCAGCCAGCAATCCATACTGGATCCAGAGCAGGTAGGATGGTACATGAGCATGCCAAGGGAGATACAGAGGGTCCCTGTGCCAGCAGCAGAGGGGGACAAGGACCAGGCTCTAGGGGAATCAGCACATCACAGAAGAGAGAAAGGATCTATGGAGGGCAGGCAATGCCTGGAGTCCAGCACCTGGTGGCCGAGGCTCCATCAGGAACAGGGAGACTGAGGCCAGCTGGAGAGCAGGGGCAAGTGGGAGGTACAGACGGGAAGGGCACAAGGGTTGCCCCAGTGAAGCACTAGACACATCGTTCAGGGAACATTCTCCACGACCCCAATACCAGGAAGCCCCAGGAGCCAAGGCTCAGTGCAGAGCTGAACATGATGGTGGGAGGAAGGTATTACGCTTAGGAAGCAGTATGCTTCCCCATCTGGAGCACAAATGGGAGGATTTTAGGGGGACCTTACCTTTGAGTAGGCTTAGAGGACTGTTTGGGGACAGGAGGGCTCTAAGAGGTAAGTGTCAGCAGGCCATGTGGATAGGCACCGAGGGGACACAGCACACCCTAAGCTTGAGGAGCTGTCTGAGAGGTGGGAGCACAAAAGAGGGCAAGTTCTCAGCCGCAGCTGGCACTGTCCCTCCCTTGCAGGCCATCCCCAGTGCTCCTGAGCTGTGGCATACCCGTGGCCGTGGCCCGGAATGCACTCCGGCTCAGTGTTGGCCGGAGTACCACCAGGGCTGAAGTGGAGCTCGTTGTTGAGGACCTGAAGCAGGCGGCGGCCCATCTGGAGGGCTCGGGCTAGCGGCCGCTCCTCCTCAGTGGCCGGCGGCCCATCTGGAGGGCTCGGGCTAGCGGCCGCTC